TTATACATGGACACATTTTATTTTTTATACACATGTGGCTTGAAGTAAATACCTGACATTTTCTCATATGCACTTAAGTATAATACGATTTTACATTAAGTAGATTAATGGAAATTTATATAAGTATATAAGTTATACCTATATAATGATTATTGATCAGTATAGGTATGCGGATGTTTAATATCTACAAAACTAAAGAAAAAAAAATACATTCAGTTATTTTATATGCGGATGATAAATTATAGTAGCTATAAGTAATTAAAATCATAAAATGCATACTATTACAGTCTATAGCAGGTCGTATAATCGTAAAAAATGTATAAATATATTGTAAATATGCTGTGTAACTTGAAAAATAATGTAGAATTTTATTAAATTATCCTTCTACGTAGATACCCAGTTTTATTTTTACCAGTGATATCCGAGTGGCCGAAGCTAGAGCTGGATTATTATTATTATTATGTATTATTATTTTATCAATACCTATTATTATACAATTGATGTTAACAAGATATTCGTTGGTTCGCAATGTATTTTGGATGTTGTTGATGGTGCTTAAAGAGTCGGTGAAAATATTGTAATTTTGATGTGAATAATTCACGATAAGTTTAAGAGCTGTTATTATGGCTATGGTTTCAGCAGTAAAAATTGAATATTTCTTTTGTAATTTATATGTTGTTTTTTGTCAATTATAATTGCTATTCTTACTCCTTGTTCGCTCTTAGAGAAGTCGTTGTGTATGTCTTGTGCTAACAAATTATTTTTGAGATAGTAGAAAAGGTTTTTTGAAAATTTTAGGAGTGGTTTCTTTTTTTGTTTTCTATAAGCTCTGTGTTTATGTTGATTGTGGTATACCATGGGGCTTGCATAGTTGTGTTTTGTATTATATTTGAAAAATATAATTTGTATTTTGTAGTAATCTGTTTGATATGGTCTGGTATTAGTTTTTTGATGTTATTTCCAGTCAGTCTTGAGGCGAAGTGTAGTGCTATTTGTATTCTTCGGATCTAGAAAGAGGGTCACTAGCTATGATGTAGATGCTTTCGATCGGACTGGATTTAAATGCCCCGATGGCTAGGTGCAAACAGGTGTTATGTATTGAGTGTATTTTTTTAATCTGTTTTTGGCTGACAGGTAAATTTCTGCACCATATTATAATTTCGACCGAATAAGTACTTTATGTAATTGTATTAGTAGTTTGCTTTTGGAACCCCATGTTGTGTGGACTAGAATTTGTATGATATTTGTTCTTTAAGATGTTAATTTTTAATCAGTTTTAGATGTGGTACCCATGATAGTTTTAAGTCAAATGTGACGCCTAGAATTCTGATTGTGTCTTTGTTTGATACTGTTAGCTAGTTTATTTTGAAAGTGGGTGGTTATTGATTTCTTTTTTTGTAAAACATGTGCTTTGTGATTTATTTGGTGAAAACTTGAAACCAGTTTCTGAAGACCATTTTATTAAGTTATTTACGCTTTCTTGAAGTAAAATTTGAATAGTGTTTGTTTGTTTACTTTTGTAAAAAATATTTAAGTCTTCTGCGAAGAGGGTGAACAATTTTTTGTTGAATATTTAAAATAAAAAGGGAGAAAAATTAGTATTTTTTTAATGAAAAAGAGTGATGTTATAATATAATAATTTTAAAAATGTTTTTTTTACGTTTTTTTTATACTGACCACAAAAACCAGAGACGTCTAAAAATTATTTAAAAATTATTCGACTTCACATATTATGTAAGTAAGGTACCTCTACATCGGTTATTTTTAGTTGTTACTAACTATGTAACCCCTCATTTTCACACAATATAATAATCTAACTATCGCGGGCTGTTGAAACAGATGTAAAATTAAAACGGTGAAATTATCAAAAGTGACACGTATGAAGGAACCTTCTTGTAAAACATATAGGTAATAGGTACAACGTGTCCTGAATAAGTAATATAAGATGAGACAAGGTGATAATATAACGAAAGACCTGTGTAGAGATGTTATATCTCTTATGCCATTTACGAGGATATTTTATGGACGCAAAAACGTATAATTCACCAGGTGTATGCTGCCTACCCACCACTGTTCAACATAAAATATAATAATGGCTTTGGAGTTTTGACACTATATTATATAATAATATCAGTAGAAATCTCGTCATAGTATACATTATTAATAATGGCTATTTTGGAAACGGTGACCCGCCTGACGCACAGTTTTCTAACCCAATTTACTATAGTAATATGTACTTATTATAGTTATTGCATCTTTATGCGATATAACAATTAAACGGTGCCGAATCATCGATTACCTGCAGCTGCAGACAGGCAGACTATACCTATAGTTGTAGAGTCAGCTTTTGCTGAGTTCACCATAATATAAGTACATTTTACTTACATCCAGTTTTTTGGTCAAAGATGAAAATAAAGAATCTATTTTGGAAACGTTATCATCGAATGTATATTTACTTTATCAAAACCTTTGAGGGTGGGTCAGTCTAACTTGAAGTGATAGTACGAAAACTACAACACAGAGGCGATTTACTAAAATTGACTGAAATGTCATCATGTCGATGAAGTCTAATATATATATTATACTGAGAATATCAAAGTAGTAACAGAAGGAACTGCATTGAATATAAATGATAAATAGTTAATAAATATTAGATTAATATTTTGAAAACGTAATAGTGATAGTTTATACTTAAACGTAAAATTTAAGATAAAATTATATGATATTTATTATGTTATAAGATTTAATACCTAATATATTATTTTAATATTCATCGCAGAATAGTCATAATTCTAATTTTAAAAAAACATGCGTAAAAAAATGAAAAGTTTTTCTAAATTTTTTTACGAAAATAAATAGCCATATCTCATTTGTGAAGGAAAATGGTCCCACCCATGGGATCATGTATTTTTTTTATGTCAATATGATGTATTTTATTCCGGGTCGGTTTCAACATTGTATGTGGACAATTTTTAATTACAAAAATAATAATTACAAAATAAGAACATAACAGTAATTTCAGTAAAACAAAAAAATATATAGGAGTACCCACCGTTTTCTAATGTTTTTTAATCAATTAACCATGTACGGTGTCTTTATGCGTATTATGCGTGTCCTATGCGGTTCTATATTATAATATGTATAATGCGCGTACAACGCTGGACCGTATTGCCGTATACTAAACATATATATATGTATAATGTTACACAGTGACTTGACACTTGACAGTTGACCGAAAAGAAGGCATAAAACGTAATTTGGGTTATGTACTAGAGATCTCACCATAAATCGAGTTTTACACTTATAGTACTACAATATTATATAATAATATATTCTATACACGTTTATAGAAGAAGAAAAACGAATTAATAAATGATATAAGAAATACTTATGAAAATATAGAGCGCAAAATTACAGCGTTTTAATTTATAAACTTAATTAATGGTGGTTATTGATATATATATCATTGAATTGTACTTACAAACAAACAGTTATTGGATCAATTTGCTTCGGTTAACAGTTAAGTGGCATGAATTATAAGCACTTAAACTTCTGTTCAAGCCGTAGAATATATAGCTATGTATAAAATGTATAATAGGTATATATACTGCATCAGTGGTGACTGTCTAATTAATTAATGGATTCGGTACAAGTCTGTACTATTAATTTGTCGTCTCTGATGCATACCACGAAATGCATTATCCGTGTAAAGGTAAAACAATAAAATACCGTAAAGCGTTGTTTTGTTTCCATCCGTTTCATTGTTCCAATATTGAATTTCAAAATTTGGCCAGACAATTTAGGTGGTCAAACGTGTGAATCGTTTCACATCGCAACTGTAACCTATAAATTATACACAATTTTCGTAGGTATTTCAATTGTTTCACTGAGAATTATTTGTGGAACACGTCTAGGACCAATGTATACTTACACAATATTTGCATGATCGATCCTTTGTAAATGGTTTTATTTTTTTCTTCGTAGCTTAGGTAAATAGTATAATCATACAATTACTTTTCTATTGAACCTATTTTCAGAATGTGTTTATATATTGGAGATAATAATATATATATACACAATACAAAAAAATTATTATGGATCAATATTCAATTATTATCGTTCTACGTTTTCATTATAAGCTATTATACTACAACTAGGTATATATAAGTAGTTTAAAAAAATAATAAAAATCACTTTCTATAGTTATTTTTTTTGATTCATGCAGTAAAAACTCCAATGGAATTCGTATCAAAATAATAATAATTAGTGAAAGAGAAAAGAATATTCAATCGATATAACACAAGCGTACCTACACATTTTACCACTTAATAATATTTTATAAACTAAAATATTTATATATAATATAGTTTTATAACTTAACATTAATCAATTGTGTACAATATTTAATAACAATACTTTTAATATAACTTTGATTGACTTCATATAATGTACAATAGAACTTGTCCTAACTAACCGCGATTGATTCATCATCGTCTAGCCGAAACTACAGAAGATAGGAGTATGCAATTTAGTCAGTAGTTTAGTTTTATGATGTAGAAAACCCACTAAGGAACTATTTTCCAAAATTAAGCTTTTAAAGAGGCTCTCAAACGAAGATTTTGAGATTACCGTTTTAAATTGAAAATTTGTTTTTTGCTTATAAATCGTTGTCAATGGTTGCAGTTTATGATAGTAAGTAATAGTAGAAATTAGTATGTATATTTTTTATACATATAAATGACTCTAGCAGTTCAGTACCAAGCTTGGCCTCTGTTAAAGAAATTATAATATCTTATACCAAATGTATGTTTGTATACCTATTCTCAAAAACTACTCGATTAATTTTGATAAAAATTTCAGATATTGTTTTAGAGATATTAGAAAAGTTTTGAGAGTAAAAATAAACTAATGTCAATACCTACCTATAACCTATGTGGAACATATAAGCATTTGATTTTATGAACGCAAATTAAGAAAAACTTAATGTTTATACATTTCAGATTTCCCTTTGAAACGATCTCATTACCCAACGCACACTGCAACGGTTGCTCGTAAAATATGTGTTCGAACACCGAAGTCGTGTAATCAACGGTCGTGGAGTTTCGATACAATTCATGGAGAACTGAAAGTCACATCCAAACAACATTTCAAAGCTATTTCACGGTCTGGTTGTATGAACAAGTGTTTAAATGAAAAGAGCTTCCAATGCAGGTAAGTCTAACTTACAATGCGCTTTGTAGGTCATATTATAGTCATTAGTAATGTATGAGAATTTCTGTAATGTATGTGTGCGATCTCGTAATTGAATAGTTACAACTTATCCATAGAATTTTCTTTTCTATAAAATATCATAGAATATTATTAAAAACGATAGGTACATGTCTGAAATTGTTTAAAAATTATGAAATATACACAATTTATATGTGTTTTACAGCATAATCTTATTACAGGTACCTAATGTATACTATTATAAGCCAATTAAAGTAATTTATTCAAATTAGAATTTGCTTTGTTCCTACAACCACGGTATAAAGTGGAAAATTTAATACTTAATAAATAATCAAATATGAATAATATAATATTAATAATGTAAAATTAATTTAAATTATGAAGTCTAATTTTTTTTCTTCAAAATTTTAAATAATGCATAGTTCCTTAATATAGACATTACCTACATTGAATTATCATATTTAAGACTTAGATGCTTAGTTCTTACCAAATGGAAATGTAAAAATGTACTAGGTAGTCCTGTAGTCGATATTTATATATTATAATATATTTTCACATACACGATTATAATAATATGGTCGTCTGAGAACATTGCGCTGCAGAGCAGAGTAGGTAAAGCAATTTCTAACATGTACATACATACTATGTACATGTACCTACATTATATATATGAACAGTGAATACGTATTATGACGTAAAGCGTATAATAACATAAATCTAGGGTACATTTGTTCGGTTGTAAATAAACTAAAAGAATATCTCATGTGAATAAGGATATGTGAAAAGATGAACGGTTTGATGGGAATAATCGATTTTTAGAAAAAAATTATGCAACATGTATTTTCATCAATAGATCATACACACAGCAACCATCATATATCTATGTTATATACGGTTGTAAACGGTTACATGCTTACACTTATATAGTTATACCTTTTACCACTTATTTACTTACAACGTTATTTTTGTACAGTTAACCTCGAGAGATATTTATAATTTTTTTCTTAGAAACTTTTTACGTCCTATATTGCGGTAGGTGGTGACTATATAGGTGCCTTATGTTATTTATTTAGAGTGTCAGTAGCCCTAACTGAAAATTAAGTACGAATATTTTAGTGCAATTTTTTGGTAATGTCATGTACCATAATTTATAACTAAAAATATAACTGCTAAAAACGCATTTAATTTTTTTGGGTTTGATAAAAAAAACAAATTTTTTCTAAATTTGGAAATTACTATTTTATAGAGTGACTATTAGTGATAATATTTATAAAAAAAAAAAACATTTTTGAAATCGGCTGAGTTTTGAATGAATGATAATAATTCGTGGTTTAAAAAATACAGTAAATTGACAGTTGTCTTATGGTTTTCACAGTTTTTATAGTAGATAGAATTATTATAGTCGACAGTCGTCATATGAAATATAGATGTTACTATTTTAGGTAGCTAATACAAATTCGTCAACGACTACTATGCACTACTCGTTGATGTTTTTTGAAATATTTTATATTTTAAATTTATAATTGTATTATTTATTATACAATATATAATATACATATTATTATTATTTATTAATAAAGTGAAATAAAACTTAAATTAAAACTTATGTCAAATTAAGTTATTTAAACACATTAATGCACCTGAGTGGCTGCATTATGGATGAACATAATTTTAAAACTATGGTAAGTAAACAATAGATACTATTGACCAATTGACACTAATCATTAACTTCAAATAATCGATATTTTTATCATCGTTTTTATTTAGGTACTTTATTTATTATTTAGTGTCTTCGGGCCAATTATAAATTAAACATGACATACATATTTAAACGTTTCCTCAATAAAACATCGTTGGATTGAGTCTCCGATTCAGTTTTAATATAGTTATACAATTAATTTGGGTTCACAATAGTTGACATTTCGTTCAGTTATAAAAATAAACATAAAATATTACAAATAGTATTTTTATTATTGGATTTGCACAGCTGTATCTATTGAAAAGTGTGAAAATTGTAAAATCTCACAAATTTCTGTATTTTTGAAATTGGTTTTTCGAAATTCAACTTTAAATATTATTATTAGGTACCTAGATTCTGGATGGAGCGCTGAATGTACCAATTGATTTTACAATAGTGCATAGTGTTGATACTTTTTAATTTTCAATTTCTAAATAGGTTTCTGGTAATAAATTGGATCTAGGTTGTTGTAGAAACTTTCCAGAAATTATTTGAAATAATAGGAAAAGAACAAAAGTTGTTTAAGCAAAAGTAGCATAACCACCAAATAGATTTTAATATTTTGTTGTTTTTAATTAATAATAAAAATATTAATGTTTTAATTTTCTAGACGTGATCAAATTTTGAAAATATTTTGTCTCTTTTTGAGTTGTTTAAAAACATTTGACATTTTTGACTTTTTTTAGTTTTTAATCGACTTGTGTATATAAATGAATGATACAATTTTTGTTTAGAAATAAAAAAGAATTAAATAAGGTTCCTTACAAAAGTTATTTTCAAAGAAATTAAAAAATATAGAAAATACTCTTCAAGTGTTAGAAAAAAATATTAGTTATTGTTTCCTCACTAATTATGCAAATAAATAGTGTCATACAATATGTGACATATCTTGCACAGAAGATATTATGTGCATTTTATGAAGTATGATTTTCGAAGTTTTAATAAATTAACCAATAAAGATAAACACTCGATGAAACCGAGCTAACATTTAATAAGTCTACAGTTAACTGTACCTATCTATCTATGATAATCGAATGACATTTTTCATTGGTACTTCTCTGTAAGATCCATGTAAGCCATCATAGTCAGCGGCATGGGTACCAGTTGGTAGGAGTACCGTGTATATTATACAAGGTGGGGGCCAATCTATATTAAATTAGTAAATTGTATAAAATGCTTTAAGTTACCATCATCTATATTTACCAATTACCAAGTAAATATATACCTAAGTAATGATCACAAATGTATCTATCCAATGAAATTAAAATATAAAAACTTAAAGGTAAAGTGAGAATGTTATTTTACACTTTAAATCCTACTTAATACTATTTATCATAGTATAAAAACTTAAATAAAATACTTTTTGTAGTATCATTTTGTACAGAAAAAATTTTAAAAATGAAAATTGTATTATCGTTTCAAGACCTGTTGACTGTAGTAACTGGTAAATATAAATGAGAAACGGAAGACTGCCAAAGGCTATAAAATAAAATTGATACATCGCAAGCATTTATTATAAATACCAAAGTACTAATTCTAGGTGAGTTTAATTTTTTCTTCTTACTATTATCATTAATAAATGCTATAAATATCTATACTGGCAATTGGCATGCATGTGATTATATAGTAAATGATTTCAAATTTCTTATAACTTTATCAATCATATTAATATAATGATTTGTTCATATCGAATTTTTTTTAGAATTAAATCAAATGATTTATTTACCTAATTAATATACATTCATGATATACATCTATATTTCTATATCATCTGGTTTAAATTCTAACGGGTGCTCGAGCCTCCAGACACGCGTGTTCATGCTGGCAACATATGAGTATATGACTATAATACAATACATAGGTAATTCCATTTACGAATCGATATGGTTCAATGGTCTAAACAAATAAGAAAACAAGGGGATAATGTCATTGTATATAAATAATTATGTATATTCTATGTGCCGTGGTTATTGGTTAAGACTATCGTTGGAAAAATTACATATTATATAGGAACGAGTAAGTGCGTCGAATATCTTATGGGATAGTCTCGGGCAAAAAGAACACCATTCTGCGGTATAATATTATAATTATGTAACATATACGACGTACCTATATAATATCCAACACGAAACAATATAAACTTGACGGTCGATCGGCGTGATACGCGTAACGGCATGTTAGGTATATACCTATCCGGCTACCCATATACCTGTACAATACAATACAATGGTAATAGTTTAAAATCATTAGAGCACAGTCATTATAATATACATACGTATCATGTGCATGTTTAGACAAGTATGCCTGTGTATGCACGTGCGGCTTATATACCTACCTTGTCAAGTGAACCTAAGGTCGTCCGCGGTCAACGCGTGTGTCGTATACCTATACCCATACGAGTATAATATATAGGCGCGCCTCGGAAGAGTCAGACTTATTACAGCCACTTATGACCATCATGATATAATTTTGATTGAAAACTCCGCTCGAGAACCTCGCATGAGTAATAATTAGAGTTGGCCCGATCTCAAAAATATGGTCTTGAACCGAACTTTTTAAATTTTTAACAGTATGTCGAACCGAAAATTGCATTCAACTTCGAATCGTACCACGTCAATTTTGTAAACAATACAAAGCCAAAATAATTGTATGTTAATCAATTAGTATGAAGTATAAGTAATACAATAACACAAGATCTATCGCTGTTCAAACAATAATATGGTTGTAACTTTATTTTCATTTTTTATAAAAACTAGAATGAATATTCAATTCTGCTCTTTAAAAATAACTAACAAGCATAAGAGACGGGTATTTTTTTGTCTTTTTCGTCGATAAAATGACAATAGACAAAAAAATTTTTTAATACGAGTGTACATAAATACCGGAAACATTTCTTGATCGCAACGATTGACGCATTCAAAATTGTTTTGCTCTTCTTTCATTTCTTTGGAACTTGAACTATTTTGGAGTTGAGACTAATTGTAGAATTCTAATTTTTTGTTCTAGTTTGATTCGGTTAGATTTTTTTAAAACTAGGCTCGATTTTCGAACTTGAACCAAACACCTAAAACTTCGTTAGATTTTTCGAACTTCAAACGGTTTAACCCATCTCTAATATTAACATTATGTTTACAGGGAACGGATTTCTGTATATATATTCTATATACGTATTGTATAGGTACAAATGCTGCTTATATAATATAAATAGGTATATCATATGTATATCGTATAAAGTTGAATAAGC